AATTGAGTTTTGTGAGACAGAATTGAGTTTTGTTAGACAAAATTGAGCCCTGTCCTGCATGGCGCCCCGTACGCTCAGCGTATGTCTACATTTGTGTTAAATACATTTGTGTTACATTGTGTTTTGCTAAATTTGCTGTTCTCTATTTTAAATATCTATTTATATATTTGGTGTTAGCGATTGGGAAACATTGTGGCTATAACACAGCGTGTGGTTATTAAATCTCACAATAGCAGATCGAAAAGCATGTACACAATTATGCTGCTGCAGATCATGAACCTCAGAGCCAAAAAAGCCGCTGGCCCAGATGGGATTCCAGCCTTTATCCTGAAAGCAGCTGCTACAGTATTAGCCCCTGCCTTAGCAAAATTATTTCAACTATCGCTCAACCTGGGCGAAGCGCCTCAAGACCGGCCTCAAGACTGGAGGGAGGCTTCGGTAGTCCCACTATTCAAGAAAGGCGACCGACACCAAGCATCTCACTATAGACCAGTGTCCTTTACGTCCATAACATGCAAACTTTTAGAACATATACTGTGCACAGCAATGTTTTGCAGCACATTGACAAGTACAACGTTTTTAACTACAATCAGCATGGATTTCGTAAGCGCCGCTCATGTGAGACGCAGCTTCTTACCACCATCCAGGAAACCAACGGCAAGACTCTAGTAGGAAATACAATTTGTTTTTATTTACTATCATTTTATGCCGGCCGACCAACTCGACCGACCGACCGATCAATAGAAATAGAATAGAATAGCAATAGAAGGTACAAATCCTTGTACAATAATGACGTACAAATCCTAAGATCGAACACGCGTTGCTAACAAATGTTGACACATACAAGCAAGAACAAATTATTGTCACGTTATCGGTTTTTATTATCATTACCAGAATCGACATACTGCCCTCGCCCACTTCATATGACCTCTTTCGCTATGGATCGTGGGCGCCATTGCTAGCGACAAAGTGTTTATGTTGGCTGGTTGAGCCGCTCAGCGGACTATTGCAACGCACAAATTATGTGCTTTAAAGAGGTTTCAGTATATAAACTGCTTACAAAATTACAAGATAAATAGAGGACCAATGAATAAGCGTTAGGTATTGTGTTTTATTATTTCACTGTTTTATACATACACGTAGTGCAGTAATACATTAAAACTAAAAGGAAGTTTACGAATACAGTTCACAGGTATAATAGTGAGATAATATTTATTATTCGCACGTGGTCACGTGTGAAATATAATATATATATATATA